ATGTAAGTAGTTATTAGCCACCTCTGTTTATTAGTGATGTCATCAGACAGACAAAAATGCAAAATTATCTGCAAAGTCTGGTATTTTAAAGACTAAAATGAAAAAAATCACTACATATTTTATTTTATTCACATATTTTCTTCAACATAAACATGCTTTAAACAAAAGGGAAAACAAAACAATTCAGATCAGGCCCAGCCTAAGGCATGTGCGAGTTCAGCAGCCACTGAGGGCCGCAGGCCACCAGGGGGCCCCCAAGAGCACCAAAGTAGCATGATAGACAAATATACATATATTTTAAATAAGATTGATTATTGCAAACTAAATGCTATACGCATGGAAAAACAAATTGTGTATTGTTTTCTAAGAATAATAATGATTAATCTCTTCCTGTTGATGGCTGCTGCCACTGTTGGGGAAATATAAGTTATTAAATTTAGTGTTTATCAGCTGATGTTACTTTCAAATAGTTAAAATAAAATGGCACACTTAAATACCTCTGTGCATTTCAAAATCTTCTTTTTTTTTACTTTGTTACTCCTGTAAGGCTAAAATCAATAGTTATAATAGCACTGGTATAAAACATGCTAATTACTAATGGGGCTAATGATGGTAGGTGTGTTACACACATAAAGTAGCTTAGCAATAATAAATCGTCTGGTGTTGACATGTTGGTATGGGCCTCCCTCCCTCCCAAAAAAAACAAACTGCTTAGGTCCCCAAAAAGGTTTGTACCAGCCCTGATTCAGACGTTCCTGGCAGGTTTGGAGGCTTTGCATGAGTAAGTTTCACTTATTTTATGTGACTCATTGCGTTAAAGAATGGCGTACTCCTATTGAAACAACTTATTTTAACCCAACGCTGAAGAAACTGCATCACTAATGGTTGCAGGAACAAGGCAAAGATCTGATGCTGTTGCTCACATATTTTCATACCAACAACTATTTGAATCCTTCTATTTGTGCAAAAACATTAAGATTAAAACTCGGTGAAAATGCTGCTTGTGGATATTTTCAGAATGTTTCTCAGTTCTTAAAATGAGGGAGGAAATTATAAGTACAGATTTGATGGTCTGGTAAAATTTTAAGTCAAGTTTGCAGTTAGAGTTGCATCTATGTGTTAATTTACCAAACAAATGTGAATTTAATGGAATTAAATTCTTGCATAACCACAACTACAGACTGTAGCTTCTCAAGTTTATGTTTTTCTTTAAATAAAACATGTAGAGATTAGTCAACTTTGTATACTCTCTTCCCTAATTACCAAGATTTTCTCAAGAGGATTTTATGAGTCAAAGGATAATTAATCTGTGCTGTAAACACTGAAGTGCAGATATCTAAATACTTCAGTTGTAACTGCATGTTCCCAAAAGAAAGAAAATAAGATTCATAGCTGAGATTCAGAGAATGGTTTCCCATGCTCTCTTGTCACATTTTACATTTTTGTCCTTGTGAAGTGATAGAAGAGAGGAGCAGAGGCACTTGTCCAGTGTTTCGCCATCCACTCCCCCAAAAAGCAGCTGAGTCCAGATGTGGACGGAAAATACGAGGGAAGGATGTTCTTATTTCAAGAGTCGCCAACTCTGACCTGCAGTGATTGTTGTGGTGATAAAGAAAACAGTCTGCAGCATATCCACACACTGCAGGGTCCTGCTGGACAAAGGGAGATTATTTACTTTGATATAAAAAGCAGCGTATCCTGTTGCCGAAGTTAAAAATAAATCCAGCCCATGTTTACTCTAAAAGCTTGAGCCGATTGATTGAATCAAAATCACAGGAGCTGTTTGGGATTTTTTTTCTCCTTTTGTGACAAAATCATTATGGTACCTTTAACCTCAGCCTCACAGGGGGCTGATTGTTTAACACAGGTCAGAGGTCAGCTTAGTAAATGATCAAAGTTCGGTCTTGATCTGCTGCACAATTAAAATCTGTTTTTAGAAATGCATTTATTTATTTACAACAAATAATTTCATTTTACTCTTTTCCAGATTCTCCTAAAAGGTTATTAATCGTGTTTTCTGATAAATTTAACCTTAGTTGCAGAAGACATTAGTAACCAACCAGTTCAATTAAAATGAACAAAAACATCTGAACCAGAAGCTAAAAGCATTAAACTTTTTCAGTTAATAACGGTTCTCTTTTTCTTTTTATAACCTTTAAAACATTTTCAATACAGCAAAACATGAATGTGTAAAACAATCAACTCAAACTGAGGTTGTGCTGCTGTGGTACGATGAAATACTGAAGTAAATACTAAATCTTCTGCAGATTGTTGTTCTGAATTGTGTTCTAATTTGGATTAAATTGGAGTGTATTTACAGAGCCCAGCAAAAATATTAATATCTCTTGAATTTTATAATTTTTCTTCATGTTGAAAAGCTCAAATTTCGATGTTTCTAAGTAGCACACAACTGTGATGTTAAAGGAAAAGGTACAAGTAAAACATAACATTGTGCATAGTTGTGTGTTTAAAGAAAAACACTACTTGAGATTAAAAAATTACAAAAACTGACATGCAGTTATTGTCAATCATCTCTGATTTTCATATATGTACAGCTGCAAGTCTTTTGGGATGTGTTTCTATCAACTTTGCACAGACAGCTAAAATCAATCCATTCTTCTTTTCAAAAAACCTCAAACTCAACATAATTTTTATTATTATGCTAAAGTTACACAATTCTATCCAGGTCTGGACTTTGACTGGGCCATTCTAACATTTGATGCTTTGAACTGAACCTTAAAATGGAAATTCTGGCAGTATGTTTTAGGTTGTTTATATATATTTACTAAAGTTCTCCCAATTCATGATGCTGCCACCACCGTCTCTGAACAACCTTCTTTATGCTGAGGCTAAATTACTCATGGGTCGACTTGATTTACTAAAAAAATATATTCTTTTTGAGCTTCAAACACCTGGAAAATCTTTAGTCTCAGTTGTAGAAGCAAACTTTGTATCCATGAATGAATTTCAAATCCTGATCAGTGAAAGTTTTAATGTTAATTATTGATAAATTGCTTTGCAGAGTTGGGTAGTGATTACATTTACTCAGTTACATTTACTTTAGTAACTTTTTTGAATAAATGTACTTTATGAGTATTTTTACTGTGCTGTACTTCTTACTTTTGCTGGAGAAATGTACTATGAAGCATCACTATTCTTACTTGAGTCTGGATTCTCTACCAACTGTGCCAGCCAGCATGCCTAGGTGGGCCCCATGTGGGGGAAAGGAGGGCTGATATATGGGTCCTATATGGCCGGCCCTCCTTTTCCCCACATGGGGCAGAGTGAATAAAAAACTTGTTTTGATAAAAGAAAAATCATCAGATAGACACACAGCTGCAGTTGAGTTAGATTAATCAATTTTACATTGAATGAAATTGATGTGTGAAAATGTTTCTTTTGCCTGAGTTTTTTACTTTTGCAATTTTGTTATTAGTTCATATGGCTTTTAAAAATAAAATTTTACATAATTTAATATTTTTGATTAATCATTCACTAATTGAAGCCTTTTCATCAAATACTTTTTTACTTTTCACTTTTATTTTTGTAAAAATATGAAATAGCGCTACTCTTATATGAGTTAAATTATTGGGTACTCTACTCTCCTCTGCCACTTAGTGATCTTTGTACAGTGTTGCTTCTGTATTGGTCAAAAATAAGAGATCTCAGTTGGATAAACTTGTTTAAGTTAAAGGTTGGGTTTTATGTGAGGGTAACATCGTAAATGCACTTGGGGAGGGGGGGAAACGTATCTTTTATGGTGTACAAGCACTTTCTACGATTTGTTCAGTCCAGTTTTTTTAGACTGTGACGTTGCGTCCTTCCTCTGTCTCCACAAAAGTGATGTCACGCATGGATAAGTGCAGCTCAGAGACTGAAACGGAGGAGAAATGATCCAAGGCGCGCATGAAAGCCGGTCGCTGATTGATTCTTCTTTTGGTTTATTACGCGCACAAAGAAGCTCTAAAAGGGAGCTGTTTGAACTTTTATTTACCATTATATGCAAGCTTTCCTCTCACTCTTTTTGGTGCACCTGCCCTGCTGACACAGCGGTCCATCCGTCTCCTCACCGCGGGCTCTGGAGTCGGGCTTCCCAGCTGCTGCGCAGGAGAGCTCCCCCGCCAAACCTGGATGGGCACGGGATACGTCAGAACCGCCGCAGCTTTGCGCTTGTTCACCTGAAAGAGACTTTGCAGATTTAAAAGACGCGTTTGAAACGACAGACAGCGCTCCAAAGGGCGGGCTTTTGGTGGATATCTGGATCTAAAAAACTCTCCGAGAGGGACTTAATATTTTAAACGCAAGTTTTGTTTATTTTTTTGATGGTGGAAGGATGATTTCTTCCAGCTGCTTCAAACTGCTCGCCGTCATCTTCTGCTCCTCATCACTCACAGCTGGTAAGATATTGAATACAACTATGGAGAAAAAAATTGTAGCGTGAATATTGGGCAGTTTGATTCATTTCTGTGAATGATTCTGTTTGTTTTTGGCTCTAGTCTTAAAGGAAGCGCTGAATATGAATCGTTTTATGCTGCTGGTTGTAACCTATAAATTAAGTCCAACTTTTAAGGGTTATTTTTTAAAATATGGATGCAGAAAACAGCTTGGACCCACATTTTAGGACATTTTGTTTGGATGTTGAAGTTCTGACATCTTCCGCTAGAGGCAGTGTTGTCCCTTTGAAGTTCCTGAAAAAGACGGGTCGTAAAAATCAATTGAACCTGGCAGGTAAATTGGGAGACTTCTTTCTGGAAACACAAGAGTGATTTCATGGACAAATCTGTTTTTCCTAGGTTTTCTCAAGACCTTGCTCTTTGTTTTATTTTTGAGGAAAAACAGTTTATTCCAGGAATTGTTATCTCTGAGTGAGGAAGACAACATTGCAAGTTTTCCTCTCTCTTTTTTTCTGTTTGTGAAACCAGCTTCATTGTTTGAGAGCAGCTCCTGCAAATGGGGCAGAAAACATGGATGTTCCTCCACCTTGTGTCAGGTCGATACACACTAAGGCTTCCAAATAAACAACCCATCCAAACAAAGGAAACACTGTTCCCATTCTTACCCTTCGCCTCCCTCCCACTCACACACACTTTGAGCATATGAAGCTTTTGTTAGCAGTGTTTTTAAGTAGATTTCCTTCACTGTCCACGCACAAAGCGTGGGAAAGACGCATGCAGGAAACGGATGCAGCGACAAGAGGCAGCTTGGAATTGTTCTGGCTAGTAAAGGTCACGGAAATGTGACACGCTACCTGAGCACAAAAAATGTCTTCCCGTAGCTTCTTGAGATGATTTTTAAATATCTCAAACCTGATGCACAAGACAATGGCAGAAAGGAAGCAGGGGGCATTGTTTCTTTGAGGAGCAGCCGACTGGTAGAGTCATTAGTCATTTTATAAGGGACAATCTGCTGATGTGTGTAGCAGGTTTGCTGAAGGACATAAAAGTGTGACGAGTTACTCTTAACTCAACAAGATGAAAGGATCAGAATGCTTTTTTATCATTTTCTGAGTTATGCAGAGAAGCAATAACCACATGTATAAAAGGCAATAAAGATTTAAAAATGACATTTAATAAAGAAACTTGACAAAACTAAACAAAACAAATAGTACAACAAAAACCTTAAAGTTGTAGGAGTGAAATCTTATTTAGAAGTTTTAAAACATGGATGAAATCCAAAGAAATACACAAAAATTAAATGTAATAACAATAAATAAATAAAAAAAACAGGTCATAAAAACTGGAAATTGTGTTTAACATATATTTAAACCAGATAAATACCATTACATGGCAACATAAAATAAATAAACGTAGTATAAAATTGATTAAATTTAAGTATGTTCATTCCAATTAAAATTGTTGTTATAAGTTTTCTTCCATAAAAATGAGAACGTTTTGTGATTCCCAAAACAAATGTAGCTCATGGTAACACAGGTAAAATAAAAATATTTGATGTTTGCATTTAAATTTGTATTTTCATTTAGAGATCTGGGTTTGAAAAAAGAAGATTATAAGTCATCCAACTCTGCATCCTCAGGACCAGCTTCATAACTGACACATACTGAATTTATTGTAGGTACAACTGGGTGTTTTCACTGTAACAATGGAAATGTAGCATTAGCTGCTGATCAGTTTAATGTAAACTGAGGTACAACTAAGTGTCATCAGCGTAACAATTCATGCAAATATAAAATTTGCTGCTAATATTGTGAAAATAAAGCTCAGATGAAGCGTGTGTAAGTCAAACTAAACTGAACCTAAAGCAGAGCCCTGGTGAACACCGTCATTCCCTGCAGTAACAGATAAAGATCTGCTTTTGAAAGACATATTTTAACTGGAATAAAGTAGAATCTGTTAGATAACTGTGAATTTAGCACAGTCATAGGGCTACTTTCAATTCAATGACTCATGTTGGCATAAAAGCAATTTTTTGTCCATTATGGAGCCTAAGGAACAAAGTTAGGTAATTTGTTAATATTTAACTTTTAAGTTGCTTAAGGCTGAGTCATAACTGCGATGAAACTCTTTTTCCTGCAAGAGGAAAAACTCTTTTAATTTCATAAATAAGCTTTGAGAATCATATTTTTTATAAATGTGAAGAATTGCATTGCTTTCATTTATTGCATTTCCCTCATACACGTAGAGCAGACTGTAAAATGGGAGTGGTGAGAGGTCAGCCAAGTTCAGTGGGGGCTCATTGCTCAGTGGCGATGCAGCTCACTGCTCAGACTGAGACACATCGCCAAAAAAAACTCAGACATAGATTGTCAAACAAGAAGAAGAAAAATGAAGACGTCTTTCTTTACAAATTACTCTATATGTCTCTGTTTTTATTTGACTATTAGGACATCTGGTCCGTACCAGACAAGTCCATCTGGATGCATGCAGTGATATATTTTCCTTAAGTCCTGCAGGGAATTTTAATATCATGGGGCTTCTGTCTAACTACCTGCCCTAATCACACGTTATGGAGCAGGAATTCTTTAGGTTTACTTATCTGGACTCCCATGCAGGAGACTCCTGGTTCTTGGCTCATCTCAGCTTTATATAACTTAGATTGGCCACCCATTTTGTCCAGATGTTCACTTCTTTTGCTTTTTTAAGAGGAGTCAGAGGCATTTTGCCCTCAAATCTCCACAGGCTAATAAATGACTAATAAAAAAGACGGTTGCAGTAACTGTTGTCATAACCTTGCAGTTGGCAGAAAACGAGAAGAGGTTAAGAAGTCTGCCTGTGGAAGAGAACTGCAGGGCAAATGTTTCTTATTATGGCAGGTGGCTGTGGTGGAGAGAGTGCTGGGATTTTAGGGAATATAAACCCACTTTTGCAGCATTTAAATCCAATTTAGCTTCTTCTCAATTAGGAATGAGCAATATATACTGTAGAAACAATAGAAATATGGCCTACGATAGAGATCTGTAACCGCGGCTAACCACGGTAAAGCTTGTTGATGAAGTAACCGGTTGGCAACAAAAAACAGAGCAAGCGGGAAGCAGCATGGCTAACAGTGCAAAGGAAGAACTCGTTAAAAAGGCAGATTCAAAAAACATAAATTATCTGATCATCTTGTTTCTAAATGAATATAAACTTGTTTTGTTTGCATAATTTGAGCTCTGAAAGCACTGCATCTTTTTTCATTATTTTAACCATTTTTAATTTTCTGCAAATAAATATTAAATTTTTGCTTGGAATTTCAGAGACATGTTGTCAGTAGTTCATAGAATAAAAGAATAATGTTCATTTTACTCAGACGCATACCTATAAAAAGAAAAAATCTGAGAAATGTATCATTTTAAGTGGCCTCTTAATTTTTTCCAGAGTTTTTTATTGTGATATGAATTTTATGCCATATCGCACATCCCTGTCGCAATATTGTTTGTTGTCACGAAGGTTGAACAAGGGAACAATATCGTTAACTAGCATTGCTAAAATGCTAGTCAAGTTTCCCTTTCTCTCTGCCAACTTTGTCATAATTTACCAGGAAACCAGGAAGATGTGATGTAATTTCTGCAGAAGAAAAGGGAATTCCGCATATTATTTCCCGCACTTGAAGGGCAGAGTCTCGGGTTTCCTGTTTGATTCAGTGACTCTCAAGTCACCTCTTACAGTAGTACTGGTTTTTATTATGCAACAGCTGCTGCAAGAGACTTTCACGCACGGTTCAAAATGGACGACTCGCTGCCAGAGGTGTTTCCTGTCTCAGGACTTCTGTTTATGTAACACTTTGCCTTTACAAACACATTTTCTTTTGTTTCCCGTGACTTTTAAATCATTATCTTTCAATTTCTACATGAAATTTGTTAAATGTTTTATGTAAAAAGAAAACATTTGAATTGTTACGCTTTCGTTTTTGCAAAGTGATGCATGGTTGTATTTGTATTCAGGATAAAAGTATTACCAACTGTATTTTCTAACAAAAGGAAAATGTTATTTACGACACTATATATTAATCTTTTTATAACCAAGCATGTTTATCCAGAAACATGACTAAAGAGCACATAAGTAAATTTCTGAATTTCAAGAAAGTTGAAGGAAGATTCCTCAAATCTTTTTAACAAAAATAATTTAAGCAATCATATCTGACCTAAAAGAGGAAACATTTTCTCTGGCTTAATCGCAGACAGAGGTTATAAGTCGCTTTATATTGTGTTTATTTGGTTTCCACTGCAATTACCACACATTTTTACACATCTAATATTATTCAGCTGGTGTATTCTGTTTGATCCAAGCCTGTTCTTTCCCTTTAATAGATGCTAATAGGAACCAGTCCAGGGCCCTTTGAACCATCAAAATAAGCACAAATTGTGGGAATCTTCAGAAAATATCCAGCAGGAATGCATCACACAGCTGGTACAGGGGGTTAGGAGTGTCTGGATGCTTTGCAGGGTCAGAGCTGGACAGCGGCAGGTGGGAATTGTGGGAAAGACAACGATGAGATTTCTTGTCTTTATTTTCATGCCTGTAACCCCTGTTGTTTCATCCATCTGTATTTCATTACTGAGGAAAAGGGGCAGAAATTATCTCAGCTTAAGAGGACAGGATGCCCAATTTTCACATCGTTTTTCTACTGGCGGGTTTTGATTTTCAATATATAACTCAGTCTTATTTATTTAAGTTCAGCAGTGTCAAACTTATTTTCATTTTGGTCCGTATCAAGATCTGAAAGTTCTTACAGGGCCAGAATGTATCGATAAAACCCATCAAACTGTTGAAATATTAAATAATAGCTGCTTTATTATAAAATGTGCAGTAAATGTTTCTTAAAAGTAAATAATATTGAACATTTTTTCAGTCCCTTCAGGATTTTGTGATTGTTTTTGTGTTTTTTTGCTATCGAAATCACAGAGTTTGTGGTGCTAATTTAGAAATATTTGCAGGAATTTTTATGATAGACTTAAATT